TTTGGGCAGGGAAGAAACTTTCTTCATAGGAAAGTCATGCACAATCGCTGCCCTAGAAATGTCTTGAGATGAAAAACACTTGCTTGGTGGGGGAAAGCCTGCTTGGGGCCGTGGTTCTGGGAGGACTGAGGATACTCCCCCCCTCCCCGGTTTTTGGTATACACAATTCTTTGTGTATATGCAGAACCCTTGGAACTGAACCCTTGCATAAGATTTGATTGTACTGTATATACAGGGGGGAAATACTAATAATGTAGATTTGAAAATAACCAATTCTCCAATCCTAGTAGGAACCAGAGCTACCTTCTGACAATAATCTCATACTAGAAGAATACCTGGATAAGGAAATATTTTAAATTTTAGTGATGTTGTCAAGTCTCCTTTATCAGTATTGACAGTTCTCTCAGGCAGCACTGTATTTTTTAAAAAATGTACATGGTGTAACTGGCAGATCCACATTAGAACTACAGTGAATATGCGATGTTCTTTGCTTCAACAACATTGCTTTGTGTATGGAAGGGGAAGCAGGAGGTGAGAAAGAATACTAATACCAAAAAATTGTTTTTAAACTTGTACAAATTGTTGGCATTGAAGTCCTATTCAACAATTGGAAAATTACTACATGTCTTTTATAGGGCAAAGAACACATTAAGAGTTCATTAATTAAACAGTGCTTGTGGAACAGATGGAATGGCTATCTGGGTTCTAATTACTGTAAGTTGTACAGAGGTTTGCAGTCCTTAATGAGCTCAATAAAATGAATGATTACACATCAATCACAATTAGAGATACCTATAAGATGGGTTGAATAATCATTGTAATATGTCAAGCATGGTAAAACAAAGAACAACAGGCAACGCAAAACATAATTAAGAATAAATAGTCCATCCCAACCTCTGGGGGAAAAGTGACGTATTTGCACAACTTCTTACCATTCATGTAAAGTCAAGGGGTGGTATTCAATTTTTAAAAAATCAGAGTACACTCATTAAAACAAACAAGCCTAATATAAGCATGCCCATTAATTTCAATGGTTCTAGTATGAGCAAGACTGATAATATAGCTCTACATTATCTCCTTCAAAAGAACAGGCAGCAACTTTTCCCTCCTCAATGCATTTACATAGCTGAGGCACTTCTGGAATTTTGGCATCCCAGGCACTTGCCAAGTCTGTATATGTGGGGTGGACCTGCTTTCCTGGCAAGTGGACGATTACGCCTCTATGACTTCCTCCCCATGGTCTGGATGTCTTGTTAGCTGCAGTGACACCAAGAGTTTGTGCTGTTGCAGTAAAGACTGCCCATTTAAAAGGTGGTCGGGTATAAGCACACATACCCAGCTGAAAACTTCATTTGTCAAAACTCACTCTTATTAAAGATAGTTTGTGGGAAAGTGGTTTCCAAAGTATTATAATGACATAAATCCACTTCTGCTACTCACAATGGAACAATGCTAGTCAACTATATGTAAATCTCTAATATAACTGTGTGATTTAGATTTTTTTTTTAAATTACACTTTCCTTTTGAGTAAATTTTTCACTTTTCACTTAATCAGATGTACAGTCAAATCTTTCACATTTGGCCAAGAAGTTCACTCTTTACATTTGCAAAGATTTGTGATTAAAGCAGAAGCTTTTTAGCCTGAGGGGTTAAAAGTGTGGGTGTGGAAGTGCGCTTTTGTTAGAAAAATTAGCAATGCTATGAGTCATTGTGCATTAGTGGCAGAATAGTTTTGCATCTTGTATGAACCCAGACACCATATGCCATGCGAGGACCTATTACTTTATTCGGTGCCATTGCTGACAGGCAGACACGTGGATATCCCCAATGGAAAGACTGTCTCTTCTCTGTGGTGAGTACAGGAACCCAGTGATCTGAACACATCAGACATTGTAACTAGCAGCAGGAACAGCTGGTAAGCTCGAAGAAGCAATGGCAATACAGAGCTAGAATGTTAATGAGAATGTGTGAGCTAAACCCCAGCGCAAGCCTCAAAGGAGTGGGCTGGGGGACATTAAAAAACACTTTATTTTATGCAGTTCATGCAACCCAACATTTGGGATTGTTCTTCCTGAATCATAAATACTGAATCTGAGTTAAGCATTAGTTCACACAACTAAGAAACTGATAAATATTGTTCAAGAAGCTCAGAATTTGTTCCTGTCATCCTACTGAAAGCATATTAACCTTAACTTCTTTCATTTTCCAAATAAAATAAAATAAAATAAAATGGTACATTCCTGAGTCAGTAAAGCCTTAGCCAAGGCTTAGATTGAAGCAGATGCATGTCTTGCTTGTTTCAACATCACAGTTATAATTACTCGGGCTAGATCAAGTAAACATTTTAATGCAAAAAGCAAACAAAACTCATAACATGACAATGAAAGGACTAATGCATATAAAAGTAAATAATGTTTTAAATGCATTGCAATTTTTCACAATTGACTGCATTTTAACACAACAGGATTAGAATGATTAGTCATTTAGCAGTAGCATCAACAATGCCATATATGCTGAAAAGGGTTAAAAAGTCAAACATTTTACATGAATTTCATTCTATCTTAAACATGCATAATCTGGACTTTGGTTTTTGACAAAATGTGAAGACATTTTACCTGACAAGATCCTTGTATGCTTTTTATTATGTTTACTATGCTTTCACTGAAACTCAATGTTTTGAAGGAATGAAAAACTTCATTATTATAAAACCTGAGAAATCTACATTGCCTTTACTCCCAAGAAGGCAAAATAAGATTGCTGCTATAAAGAATACAGTAGCAAGAATGCATACTATACAAACGACCTCATTTCAACACAAGCTGATGCTAGTTTAGTATGGAAAAATTATACGCTCAACCCAAACAATATTTCTCAAACTGTGCACTCATTTTCTCATTTGATACTTTAATTGAACAGTAAATTGGTCAGTGGGTGGTCACTTTTGAACCAGAATGAAAATAAACGTGGACACTATGAAGTATAAGGAAATATGCAGTAAGTATATTAGCAAAGAACACAAAACTATTGTTGTTTTTTAAAGTTTGTTTCTTCACTTAAGCTTTGAAAACTCACATTTAATTGTTCTTATAATAACTCTTACATTAACAAGTACTGGTGCAGGTTTGGGCTACTGTATATGTGTTTCAGCTGAGCTGCAGTAGAGCACTTTCACAAATATTTCTCACACTGAAAAATATATTTCACCTTGGGGATTTTTCATTAATTCAGGAAATTCCCACATTATGAATTAGCTTATTTTGCTATAATGATGTAATCACATAGCCAAATCAGCTGCATACTAAGTGTCCTGACTACATCCTGTTTAGCGTGTGATTATTGACAAGAGTAGAATAGTAAGTGAAACTATACCTAAAAAGAAGACAGCCTAAAAATGAAACAAAATGGCATTGAAACAGCAGCAGATGACAGAAAACGGTGAACATTTACTCAGTTTAGAGTTTTTTTGTAGAAATACGTTTTGATTTAAAAAGTCAGAAAAGGAGAACAGCTAGCAAAACCCTAATTAATATGCTCTCAACAGGAGGGTATCTCTTATGCTGGAACATTCTCTCTGGTAATCTAAATGGAAGGAGAGACAGCTCAATGATAACCATAGTTTGGTGAGGATTGTAAGTGCCAGGGCACCTAGAAAGTTGAAGAGAAGGAACTGAAGAAATTATTGAATAGAAAAGGGCTAATTACTATTTATTCATAATTAAGCTTCCTAGCAAAATATCTGCAAATATTTTCTCCTTGTAAAATAAACATTTGTGGTTTTATCTCAGTATTATGTTAGATTAATGTACATATTTAAATAAAAGGAACAGATATTTTATTCTGCTAATTTGGTTTGATAGTTCAGACTTGTCTAGAAACCATGTGCCCTGGACCACTTGAAGACTGGCTAGCATCTATGAAGATTTTCTTCTCTAACTCTTAGAGGACTACCCTCAGTTTGACAACCCATCAGCTTGAAACCTCACCTCACTTGCTCTGTTTGGATAAGTATGCTGGTGGAACTTTACAGTTGTGTGACCCCAGCATAGGCCAGTAGAATTGTAGTGGCCCGAATAAGAACTGGAGTTCACTGGAGACAGAACTAACCATGCAGAACATCAGGGTATCCAAAAGCTCTGAGAACAAATTCAGAAGCTTGCCGGATTTGCTGGATCAGCTCAGCATGTTCTGCCTCCCTAGTCTCCATTCAGGCAAGCAAGAGGCATGATCAGAGTTCAAGGACACATTCCAGCTAGGCAAAAACTCTCAAAAGAGGATGCAGAGCAGGGCCAGTAACAGGTGTGGCTGGGGAGGGGCTGGGGCCAAAGGTCTGACAGAGAGGCTTGGAGGGCTGCATTTCACCTCTGGGGCTTGAGGTTCCCCATCTCTGCTTTAATCCTTTGCCTCCCATTGTAGTCCCAATCTGGATCCACCCACTCTGGCATTTGCATTTTGGAAGGGAAAAATGTTCCCGATACTTTTCCTAATGCAGATTGCAGGTGTGAAGCCACAATCCAGGTCTGGATTACACTGGAAGAAAAGGGTTAAAGCCCTCTAATTCCCATGTCACCTTCCCAGTCCAGATCAGGAGGCAATCTGCAGCAATTCATGAAATAAATATCTTACGCTTAATCATATATTGCTTTACTCTTGCTTTGCAGGATCATAGCTGGCTCAGCCCCTCCCTGCCCTGTTTCAGTTGTAGACCTTGAAGTCCTGCGCAATGCCAAAATTTGGTGCCCCCCACCTTTCATTCTGCATCACAGTTGGGGTGCCTCCTGAGGCTCCATGCCCAGTGCAACCAAACCTGTTGCGCTTCCCTCAATCTGCCTCTGCCTGTTTCAGGGCTTTGGGTGGGCTTCTGCTAGCAGGTACCCCAAAGAAGCACTCCACCCACCTGCACATTCAACACTGCAGATGGAGGATGCCTCTGCCCAATCAACACACTCTTTCCACCCCAAGTCCAGCACAAAGGGCGTCTGGATTGCAAAGGAGTTTCAAGAAAGAGATTGATATGGCAGGAGAATTACTTGTATGAAACTGAAGTTTCTTTCATAGATCACAAGGTATGTATATATATATATACATGAACAAAACAGCACTTCTAAGAGTCTACTAATACAGTTGAACCTATTGGGTGGCTTTCCTCCATATTTTTTTGTTCATCAGTTCTCTTTAAATGAGGGGGCTGCTAATTATTGCGGGAGGGTCAGCACCATTAAAAGTGATTTTTAAAATTCACAGTAAAGATTATGAGAAGCAAACACATAAGAGTGAATGTTTTAAACCTGACTTAGAAGTTCATCTGAGATTTCAAGGTCTAAACCGGAACAGTACCTAAAACAAGTGCAGATAATTTACAGAGGATTTAATTTCCTACCTATTGCAGAGGTATACCAAGGCCTTCTATGAAATGTAATAATCCTTGGCAAATCTACAGGACATACACAGAAAAATCCAATGTTAATACCACCGTAAAAGCTTCACATGTCATTACAGGCTGGAACAGATTACAGCTATTGATTGCTGCCTGGAGAATGTTCTCGCTGTGAGAACGGAAGGCGAGCAGCAGTGACAGACAGCTCAGCTATTGATCTACTCCAGCAGGGAAACTGCACTTCAAAATGAAGGTCAGTATTCCTTTATGCCACCAATTAGACCCACTATAATGTTCATCAGGACACTGCAGAGATTGGTGAGATTGTTACGAACAATTCTGAGTCATATTTTATTTCCAACATGCATAGTTTCTGACAACAACTGACTGAAAACTACAGAAGGCAAATTATACGCCCCCAATGACGGCAGAACTGATAATCTTGGAAGGGAAAAATGCCATGTCCCATAAACTGAATGGGAAAAAGTGACTGCATTTTTTTATATATATATTCAAGACAAAATTATATGAAAGTATAAGGGTGAAATCCAATGCTGATGTTCTGGTTATGGAACAGTTTTTGATCCAGTGGAAACATCTGGAAACAGAAGAGAAGGGGAGGCCATTCTCACCAGTTTTCTCTTTCCCCTACAGCTCTAATTCCATGCCACCTTCCATGTTGCTGTGGAGAGTCCCTCAAGACTCTCCTCAAGACTCTGCAACATTTTTTCAGGTGGTGTAGGGGGACTCAGTGAAAACTGCCTCCGCTTCTCTTATGTTAGCAAAGCAAAAGCAGCTCCACAAGTGGCACCATATTATTGGATGCTTTTTTCTCAAAAGAGACCCTGAGGCATCAATAACAAAAAACATAAAATGTAGCTCAACAATGCATTGTATAATTCATTTTCAGAATCTCTCAATCAATAAGAATCTAGGCATACAAAGGTGTCTCAAGCTCATCTATTTATTTCAAGTATGGAAGAATTGGAAATGCTCAAGGAAACCAACTGGTCCATGTAATGTTTTCTTTCATAATGAACAAAATAATATTCCAGTGCCATTTTAAATACGATTACTGCTTCTCCCTTTGTTATTTATAATACTTTCACCTATCACATATTCAAAAAACCAAACTCAGGTGGTGAGTGTAAACAGGATTGTAGTTAAAATGGGGACACTGAGAAATAAGAGGAAGAAATCAGTATGATTGAGGAGGGAACCCCAAGGCTTTCAGAAACTTGAATGAATAAATTAAAATAAACCTTAAAATACTGCCTGCTAACAAGCAGATTTAGGGGAGCACACCTGGTTCACCCACAATGGGCAATGAGTTGAGAAGGCACTGTAGGGGGCTCTGCAACAATGATGCATGGAAAGCGAGAGGCGGTTTTAGCGTTGCACAGTGCACTGCTGAAATGTTAAAAAGTCCTCTACTCCCACTAAAACAACCAAGCAAAATCTATTCTCTACCTAGGTAAAAAAAACACAACAACATTAAAGGAGCCCTGGATGGTTAAGTCCAGTCAAAGGCGACTATGAGGTTGCGGCACTCATCTCGCTTTAAGGCTGAGGGAGCCACTGTTAGTCCACAGACAGCTTTCCGGGTCATGTGGCCAGCATGGCTAAACCACTTCTGGCGTAACGGAACATCGTGACGGAAGCCAGAGCACACAGAAATGCCGTTTACCTTCCTGCTGCAGCGATACCTGTTTATCTACTTGTGTTGGTATACGTTTGAACTGCTAGGTTGGCAGGAGCTGGGACAGAGCAATGGAAGCTCACCCCATTACAGGGATTTGAGCCGCTGACCTTCCGTTTAGGCCACCGTGCCACCTGCATCCCTACCTATACCTGTACCAGACTGATTATGTGGCACCCATGTCAGTTTCATCTAGGAATAACTGGAGCTGAACAGCCACCCCCAGCCCTCTTCAGATACCTTGTTTAGCTAGGTGCAGACTGATAACTGCCCAGATCAGACAGTTCAAGTAAAGGAAACTTCAAGATAGTCCTGTCCACAGCCTTCTGAGAACATTAGAAGCCCATTCTCTTCTTCAATGAGTAATTTCTAATGGATCTGATGGCATTGCTTGATTCTCCCCTCCCCGCTCTCTCTTTCAAGCTGCCACCATCCATGATGGGCAAGAATCCAGAAGACTGCTGCAGTAGTCCATGAACTTTGTCTATATCTCCAGGCTGCAATAACAGAAACTCACCCAAGCAGTAGCCAGCGGCCATAGATAGTTCAAGTACAAATATTGTCAAGGAGGACTTCAAATTCAACTGGACATTAGAAATTTGTGATCTAAACCTAGCTCACCAGCCATGTACGACAGGTTATTAGGAGGTTGATAATCACCTGGTTTTGCTGCCTAGCTGGGACTGCAAAAACAGACAGGTTATCAAGCATCCTTCAGGCCACAATACATGACTTAGGGGCTGTGCAACAGGCTGCATGTTGTGCAGGTCTATTTTAGCTATTTTGTAAACAGGCCTAGGTGAGTCAAGCAGGCTAAGAAGAAAGCTTCTAAAATCAGTGTGCCTCGCCAAATGATATATACTGTATTGGCCCAAATATAAGCAGCAATTTCCCCCCCCAAATTCCGACTGTAAAAAGTTAAAGTGCGGCTTAAATTCGTGACCTTACAAAAATGGACTTTTACGATATCGCTGCTGAAACGGACATATGGTAAAACGGAAAAAAATATTTTATTGCCAATTTAGTGATTATACGGTATCTTTTGTGGGCTTGGAAGATCAAAGGCTTAAATTGGCTCAGTTACAATTCTACCAACCACAGCGATTGAAATTATTCTGGTCACTTTTAGCAAAATAGTCTCTACCATAAAATGAAATCTGCATTGATATTCTGAGAATTCTGAAAGTTCTCTCTCTCTAATATACAAATGCCAATATCCAGGCTGCATTCCCAATATAGAAGGAAAGATGCAGAAGCTGCTCTCCTGACTGGAAAGGGTTGGGGTGGCAGTGAGGTTGGCGGTGCCCTGCATTGCACCCCCATAGCCTGCCCTTGCTACTGCCCTGCCAAGTTTCCGGAAGGAGGCTCTGCTCTCCAAAGGGGCTGATACTGGAAATGTTGCAAAGTGAAATGCATCTTTACATTCTTTATTCATTAGATTAGTTCAAAAATCAAACATGAATAATTCTAAAAATGTTGCTTCTGCTAAACGTAAGAAAAATCCTGTTGTATCGTGTCAAAGCCTCACCTCTTCTAGCCTCCTGTATTCACAATAGTCGACCAGATGCTATGGGGAAGCGACAGCCCTCTCCCCAAGTAATATTCAGAGTGCTATGCAGATTCCCTGCAAGTGATATTCAGAGGATGCTCACCATGGCAAGTAGCTATTGATGATAAAGACTTAATGGCTTCAGCAGAGTCTTTCACAAAACCAAATATTCTTGTAGAAAACTTACCTCAAAGTGAACAGATGTAATTCCCAGTCCTGAACTAGAAACCAAGAAAAGGATACAAGCTCTGATACAGAGTTTTAAGGGACTTCACAGCTCTGCTGGCATTGATGCACGAGGCCCGGATAAGATTTGGTAGCAGTTTTGCAGTCACAATTGCCCCATCAAACAAAGGACCAAAAAATGGCACCTGCCAAAACAAAATGCATTGTATCATTAAATCAGTATATATCACTGGATGAAAGGCTAAGGGAAGTCAGAGTAGAATTACTGAAATTAATGAATTTAAGTTAGTCGTTTCCATTAATTTCAACGGATCTACTCTGAGTAAGACTAACCCTGGAGACAATGTAACATAGTAGTTTTTATCAGCAAATGTGTAAAGTATTCAATTAAAATGTTTATGTATTATCTTTTGGGTACAAGTGTCTGGGTTTGGATGTTTCCTCAACTTGAAAACAGATAAATGTATGTGTACACACATACACATACACACCAGAAGTTTAAAACAGTTTAAAAAATGTCCAATAGCTCACTCCCAATAACTACTCAGTCTAAGCTGTCTATTTGTGGTATCTCCAAAACAACTAGTGTCAAACCAAGGACTGCAACTGGCCACACTTACACTTTGATATAAAATGAAACGTCATGTACAACAAATGCTCTTGAAAAGTGCATTGGTGTAAAGTATAAATAATGGAAGAATGCTTTCAGACTCATTTCATGTGTAAGGCTTTTTTCATATTTTTGTTTGATATGTATTCTGTTGTACCTACGGGACTGCCTCTCCTGGTATGCCCCACGGAGAGCCCCAAGGTCCATAAATAACAACACCCTAGTGGTCCCAGGCCCTAAGGAAGTTAGATTGGCTTCAACCAGAGCCAGGGCCTTTTCAGCACTGGCTCCGGCCTGGTGGAACGCTCTGCCTCATGAGACCAGGGCCCTGCGGGATCTGATTTCTTTCCGAAGGGCCTGTAAGACAAAGTTGTTCCGCCTGGCCTGTGGCTTGGAGTCAGTTGATTCCCTCCCCCTCTTTCTTTTTTCTTTTCCTTTCTCCTCCTGCGATGAGGCTACATTTTAATATTTTAATGTTTCAATATTTTAATGTTGTATTTTAATTTTGTTTTTAAGTTGTATTCGTTCAAGTTGTTTTTATTATTGCTTGTTAGCTGCCCTGAGCCCGGCCTTGGCTGGGAAGGACGGGGTATAAATAAAAATTATTATTATTATTATTATTAATGTTCATGAAATGAAGTACTAACAAGAATTCTTTCAAAGAGTTAGTTCTATCATGCCAATAGCAAGCTATCACTTAGCTTTGGAACACATTTTTAAAAGAAAAGCCTGACTAGCTTTTCAGTTGCCTTATAATTGAATAACTTTCTAAAGAAATGTTTGCAGCAACTGATATTATAGTTTGAAGACTTGTTTATTCTATTATATTTTATTCCAAGAAGACCCATTTATCCTAAATAGAACTTAATAGGGCAGGCATGTACAGTGATACTTCCGGTTACGAATGACATTTCCACAAATTTTGAAAGCACGCCAAAAAGTGCAAGTAGATTAATAGGTACTGCTCTGGCGGGAAGGTAAACGGCGTTTCTGTGCGCTGCGCTGGTGTCAGTGTTCCATTGCGCCAGAAGTGGCTTAGTCATGCTGGCCACATGACCCGGAAAAAGTGTCAGCGGACAAACGCCAGCTCCCTCAGCCTGTAAAGCGAGTTGAGTGCCGCAACCCCAGAGTCGTTCGCGACTGGACTTAACTGCCAGGGGTCCCTTTACCCTTTACCTTATTAGCCTTGTTAAGAAAACAAGGCAAAACCAAAATCCAAATCCAAAGGCTGGACTTCTAAAATACAACCATTACTGGAAATTGAGTCAGATAAGCTTAATAATTTCATGAAGAAGGGGCAGGGAGATCTGGGCTAGACATGGATCTAGAATAGACATGGATTTGGGAGAATACAGCCACTAGATTAATACTGTCTGATTTAAAAAATAACTACTTTAAATACAGTATGGGTGGTATGCCATGTCACATTTACTGGCATGTTGGCATTGGACAACTGCTCATGTGGGCTTTTTGAATCTGTCTTTTTTCTGAGGGTCCTGGAGAGGGTTTCCAAGAATGACTATTGTATTGACTAAGGAAGTAGTATGATTTTCTTTTTAATACTCGAGGAATGAAGGGGTATTTTGATGTTGTCTTAAAGGTATTGTAAGGTATTTGAATCAGAGCTGAAACTAGTCATTACTGGTGATAACAGAATAAATGATGCAAGGAAGGAGCTGTAGTCCAAGACAGGAAAAGAGGTGGTAAGGGAACATCTAGCTACTTTACATGAATTCAAATCTCCAGGATCTGATGAGCTGCACCTAAAGCTACTAAAGGAGCTTGCGGGTGTATCTCAGAGCCTCTGTCTATAATCTTTAAGAATTTTTGGAGGACAGGTGAGATCCTGGCGAACTGGAGAGTGGTCAAATGTTTTCACATCATCAAAAACGGGGGCGGGGGGGGGGAGAAGACCGAGGTAACTACTGACCGGTCAGCTTGATGTTGATACCTGGAAAGGTTCTAGAACAAATAATTAAGCAGTTGGTCTGTGAGCATTTAGAAAAGGATACTGTGATTACTGAGACCTAGCATGGGTTTCTCAAAAACAAGTCTTGACAGACAAATCTCACTTCTTTTTATTTCTTTTTTTTATATACAGTGGTAAGGTAAAGGTAAAGGTAAAGGTACCCCTGCCCGTACGGGCCAGTCTTGCCAGACTCTAGGGTTGTGCGCTCATCTCACTCTAGAGGCTGGGAGCCAGCGCTGTCCGCAGACACTTCCGGGTCACGTGGCTAGCGTGACAAGCTGCATCTGGCGAGCCAGCGCAGCACACGGAACGCCGTTTACCTTCCCGCTGGTAAGCGGTCCCTATTTATCTACTTGCACCTGGGGTGCTTTCGAACTGCTAGGTTGGCAGGCGCTGGGACCAAGCAACGGGAGCGCACCCCGCCACGGGGATTCGAACCGCCGAACTTTCGATCGGCAAGCCCTAGGCGCTGAGGCTTTAACCCACAGCGCCACCCACGTCCCTATATAAAGTGGTACCTCGGGTTAAATACGCTTCAGGTTACAGACACTTCAGGTTACAGACTCCGCTAACCCAGAAATAGTACCTCAGGTTAAGAACTTTGCTTCAGGATGAGAACAGAAATCGTGCTCCGGCAGCGCGGCAGCAGGAGGAGGTCCCATTAGCTAAAGTGGTGCTTCAGGTTAAGAACAGTTTCAGGTTAAGAACGGACCTCCGGAATGAATTAAGTACTTAACCCGAGGTACCACTGTAGTTACAAACTTGGTGGATTGGGAATGCTGTGGACGCATGTATCTTGATTTCAGTAAAGCTTCTGGTTAAGTCCCCCATGATATTCTTGCAGGGAAGCTGGTAAAACTGGGCTGGATGAGATAACTGTTAGGTGGTTTTTCTAGCTGGCTGACTGACCGAACCCAAAGACTGCTCACAAATGGCTCCTCCCCATCCTGGGAAAAGGTGCCACAGGTCCTGGGCCTGCTGTTGTCCAACATCTTTATAAATGACTTGGATGAAGGAATTTAGGTGATGCTCATCAAATTTGCAGATGACACCAAACTGGGAGGAGTTGCTAATGCTGCAGAAGACAGATTGGAGAACTGGGCCAAAACTAACAACATGAACTTCAGTGGGGACAAATGTAAGGTTCTACACTTAGGCAGGAAGACCAAGCTGCACAAATATAAGATGCGGGACACCTGGCTTGCCAGTATTACATGTGAAAAGGATCATGGGGTCTTAGTAGAATGCAAGACTAAGATAAGCTGACATTGTGGTGCAGCAGCCAAAGAAGCTAATGCCATTCTAGGCTGCATCAACATAAGTATAGTGTCCTGATCAAGGGAAGTCATAGCACCACACTTTTGTGCCTTGGACAGACCACGCTTGGAGTACTGTGACCAGTTCTGGGTGCCACAATTTAAGAAGGATATTGACAAGCTGCAACATGTGCAGAGGAAGGTGACCAAGATAATTAAGGATCTGGAAACCAAGCCTAATGAGAAACAGTTGAGGGAGTTGAGTTTAGGCTGGATAAGAACAGAGAGGAGATATGAGCTGTCACATAAAAGATGGAGCAAGCTTGTTTTCGCCTGCTCTGAAGGCTAGGACCCGAATCAAATTATAAGGAACAAGAGTCTGACTAAACATCAGGAAGAACTTTCTGATGATAAGAGCTGTTCAAACGTGGTGGACTCTCATTCCTTGGAGTTTTTTTTAGCAGAGGTTGGTTGGCCACCTGTCTTTAAGTGAGGTTTCTGCACTGCAGTGGGTTGGACTGGGTGACCCTGGAAGTTCCTTTCAACTCTACAATTCTGATTCTATGAATCTAGGCTATCCAACAAGCCTAGAGCAAGATGACTTGCATTTTAATTCTATGACCTGCTATAGTGCAGCAGCTGCACATAGGATTGAACTGGAAATTTATGAATATTTATAAGGGTGTTTTAGGATGTATGATAATTTCTAAATTGGTAAATTTAGCCCTATCTAGTGTGTCCACCTAGAACTGCACAATGAGAAGAACCACTTCAATATTATTTTAAAACTGATTGCCATGTTTTTAGGTCATCTTGACATACATGGTACATGAAAATATATTTGGAAAGTTTTGGGGATGGAGCAGGATATAAATCTAAATAAAATGCACAGGAGTGTTCCTGAATGCCAGTCTCATAGGAAACTCATCTGGTCTCAGAAGAAGGACTGCTTCCAATAGAGATTGTCTGTCTCATGTCTGTTTCAGATCTTAAAATCACTTAAGTAGTTTTGTGTACATTTTATGTGAATACATGATGAAACTAAGATTCCCCACATAGCAACTTCTACACTATTTTAATTATTGAGAATTTTTAAAAATACTATTCTAACCCATTAGAAAACACAATCAAGTTTAAACAAACCATGAGAGTGCAAAGACATATCTTCCATAGCAAGCAATATAGTTTAAAAAGCTGGTGAATGAGTAAATTATTGTACCAAATGGCTGAGAATTAATCTCTGATGACGAACTGCAATCTAACGAGGCATCTGTGTCCCAGGGAACTCTCAGTGTGTCCCTGGCGGTATGCACAGCGTGTAGAGTCTGCACGGCATTCTTTGTCCGCTTTTGTGGGCAGCTTTTCGTCTCATTGTTCAGAATATCTTAATGCATCTGTGATGCGTGGAATGCATTCATACTGACAGACTTACTATTGTTTTCTCTCAGAAGCTTTGTTGAGCAAAAGACTGCATCGCAGTTCCCAATAATTATATTGGTTAATTAATCAAGACAAAAAAGTTTGCAAATCATTGCCCGGTTGCCAAGCAGGAGGATAAAAAATGAACACAAGACACGCGGTAGCAATGTAAGAGAAGTAACAGCTATTGGATGAGAGATTCTTATATAATGAAGCTATTAATACTAAAATGGTTAATGTTAACATTGCTCCAGGTGTCTTTCCTTAGATGCAAACAAAAAGGCTAACATTATGTATATAAAAGGCCAAATGTTACCATGGATCCTGAAACCTTACAGAGAAGCGACAGCTTTTTCATCTGATTAGGGAACACAATTTAAATACCAGGGACTGCAGCCAAACAGTCATTTCTCTCTACAAGCCTCTTTCATTCACTCTGGGGTCAGTAGCTGGTGAACAGAAGGTCAGACACATTTGCCCTGGAAATACCTGGATTAGTTTTATTGCATTGTAATAGTTATATTTTAAAAGGCAAACTAACACGAATTTTACAGTTTGGCATTTTTCCTTCTGCAGCATGGCTTCTTTGAACACACAACACATTAGCAAAAAGGAAGCAGACATACACACACATGGCCTTTCTGTTATGGTAGTACATTTAGCATTCATTTTGCATTTGATATTCATATATTGAGCCTAGTATACTTTGTACAGAAAAAGGGTATATAAATTGAATAAAAAGTAGTAAAATGATACTGTTAAGTAAAACAATTAGTAAAAGAGAAAAAAAGTTAAAAGTCCAATCCTATGCATGTCTACCCAAAAGTGTTCCCACTTAATTTACAGGGACTCAATATTAGGTAAGCATGTGTAGGATTGTAGTCCTAAACTGGTTTGGTTTAAGATTTCGGTGTCTAAAGGGGTGATCAATTGACCATTCCTACTTTATTTCAGATGTCTTTGCTTTACCACTCCAAGAAAGCTTAGAGTCATTGTTATTTTCGTTTTGTTGTCAGGTGACAACACTCTCATTTTTCTATATCCATCTGCTTCAATAATTGAATTTTATTTATTATGTTTTATTGCTTACAATTGTTATATTTTAGTACTTTCATCCTATGAAAGTCTCTCTGGGAACCTGATGGATGAAAAACATTTTCTAAATCAATCACATTTTTCAATAACAGTAACTGATGAATTGATCTGTGATTAAGTGTTATTTTATCCTTATGGGAAAAGGGACTTCACTGGGTGGCAGGACAGGCATTGATAAATTCAAGAAAATTGCATGTCACTAAGATGCAATGAGAGGTGCATCTACACTTCTTTCTGCTGCTGGCTTGGCTCTTATTATTCTGAGTGCATTTGCCTTTTAGTCATCTATACATCATCTGCTTCTTCACCTGTATCAATTTTTCTTTTTCTATGGTGCTCCAATGCCTCAGGGTAACAGCAAGACCCGTCCCAGGAAGCCTGACTAGGATTTGCCTGTCTGCCATAATCTTAAAGCATATTAGGCAGCTGTACATTTCCCCCTTATTGAACAGGGCCATAGGGCTACTTGGATAAATTCTGAAAACCTGTGTAAACTTTGCAAAAATTGTAACAGCTGAATAGGTTAAAATCAGGCTCATCTGGATGTTTTGCAGTATGTTTTGTGCTGTGGAAAATGATAGAAGGCACTGGAAAACAAGGCGAGCAACTGTACAATGAGAGCTTCCTATCAAAAAATGGCTGTTTTTATTGGGTTTGAGATTGTAGCTGTTAAAACTTCATTCAGTATATATGCCCAATGGTTTCTAATGGAATAAAAAGATGCATAACTGCATGCATGTCTAAAGCCCATTAATATATTCTAATCAAAGCTTTGGAAACAGCACCAGAAGTAGGGCTTTTTCAGGAGTGGCACTTGGACATCTTTGCGTCTTTGAGCCCACTTTCTCCCTTTGTGGGAAAAGCAGCTTCAGATGAAAGCACTACTAGAGCAGCATCCACAAGAGGCACCTTAAGATGTGTGGCCCCTGGAAATGTATAGTGCTGCTGACTATGTGATTGGCTGCCTAGCTAGAGCCAACCATTTTATGGATAAAATCCTATCAAAGGATTCTGGGACTGGAACTGTGGAAGATTAGTTTGGCCCCTGTGGAAAAACCACCATGAGACCCTTCAGTAAGGAGTATCCTGTTTCTGTCCTTGGCATCTGCATCTGTAGTCAGCCAGACAGCCCAGAGGTCTAGAAAACAATTCTACCTTAACAGCCTGTGTCGCACAGGTTGTTCTCCTCCATCATTAGAGAGTTCTCCTTCCTCTCTGTGGAAAACCTCAAATTCCTGAATAGGGATAGATCTGCCCATTTTTGGTTTCTCTCACTTTCAGTTCTCCACATTTCTGCATTTGTTTATAGGGGATGGGGGCAACCCTCCCAGCAGAGGAGTCCAAGTTGTGCTTTCTGCTGTTAGGAGAAGCAATCCTGAATGTTTCCTCCTCACATTTTCCAGTACAAATTCATGTCTTCCTCAAATTGAACTTTTTATGTCACTTTGTGGAAAGCTACTCAAGCAGTGCAAGTTAAGCATTTGTTAAGCATTTGATCATACTGGGTTGCATCCAGTAGCATTTGTCTAACTCATGAAAGGCTTTCTGACCCAGTGAAGGCTTCCATCACCAGAAGGGAGAGACAAGTGCTTTTCACTAATTCCCTGCAGTCACCTGTGCCACCTCCCACTCTGTTCTGAAAGATCCCACCATCCTATGGAGAAGATTATGTATAGGTGTAAGAAGGGCTACAGGGGAGAGGGGGAATTGGTGAAAATCACCTTCCTTCCAATTTTGCTGATGGAAGCCTCGGATGGATTAAAAAACCCCTTCATTCAGCACAAGGGACACTGGATGATGTAACTCATTAAGTTCTTATATATACAAAGTGAGAATACACAGCATCAGATGCTCCCATTCAACTTAGAAAAAGCATTCAGGATTTTTTTTCAACTGAGCTGTCTTTGAGCACTATTATAAACACTAGCCATGATACATAAAATAAAACAATCAAGAACATACCTCTGGTTTCTTTGTGATCTCTATGAAAAACATGTGATTCTTCATTGGATAAATAATAATTAAAGCATCTCCAAAATCTGTTGGTATAATACCCCTGCGATAATTTCTGGTGTGCTCAGACCACACAATATGAACCTCATCATTTCCCAAGTGACGAAGCTGAAACGGCAAATTGGCTTGCTATTAATCAGGGTGATGAACACAACTTGAGAAGTTGGACAAATTGAATAATGCGTCAATAAAGAAAATTGTACATTTTCTCCTTAAGGGAATCCATCTTATTCAAAATATTTATGGGACCCTGGCTAGAGAGATTGTCCTAGTTTGATGTACTTCTAAACTACAGTTTAGAGTTATGAGAATGTGCAGGAGCAAGTTCCACAGTCTCCTCTCCTCCTTCTGTGTGGCTGCGAGATCAAAGCTTTTGCCTCAGTTACATATTAACCACAATTTAGCATTATGAATAGTTAATCTTAACTGCTGTTTGTTTAAATAAGCATGGTTTCAAGTTGTCTTGTTTTAACAAACCATGATTAGCCATAGTTTTTTGGGCTTGGACAACAAGTGGTGCTTAATGTAAAACTGAACCTTGCTATGGCTCATTGTCATAAAACTAAACTGATTTTGAGTGAAATCCAGATCAGCTTGTAGGATTATCTTATATTAGTATGGTGCTATTCATAAAAGGCCGACTTTCAAAGTCGGAAGCATAGGTTTAAAACCAGAAACATTCACTTAGTGCACACACCTTGGGCTAATTCAAAAGCAGTTGGTTGGGAATAAAAGATAACATGATACTGAAGAAGCTAGTTCTTCACTTGCTTGCCATGGAAACTGGATATTTTCAGAGTCCTTATATATTGCAGAATAGCTGAAACCAGAATATTTTGATGAAAACTGAAAATTCTGAGGGTGGAATCTAATATAGTGTGAGTGGATGTCTAGTTGCAGAAGGAGGCTTCTTCTCTCCCTCCCCCCATGTGCCCCAGTAATGTGCTCTGGAGGACTGTGGCATCCACGGAACTGAGTTTGGAGGCACATGGGGCCTGGAAGAGGAAGTTGAGAAACTGAAAGTCCTGTTGTGCAATAAGATTTCCAATGGGAAGACATGTTTTTCAGATGTACAAAGTTTAACTAGGAGGAAGAAAATTAAACCCAGCTTAGTTTCATTAGACCTTAAGTGTGGTTAACAGCATAAGTTTTACAGTAAAATGTATCTATCTGACATATTAAAATAAGTGTCAACTGTATTATAAATTAGTTGGGTGTAGTAGCTACGATTCTAGTTTGAATATGACTTAAACCCCTCATCAGCCAAGAAGTATACTAAGAATGTGTAGAAAAGCTGGTATCTGCTGTATTCCAGTACCTCAAATTTGGATAGCTTAATTTGCACATTATGCAAATACCATGCAAATTATTAACTAATTATGCAGATCACATGGTAGTTTCAAGAATAAAATACTGCTCTAAACTCCAAGGACAAACTTGACTACGGCTTGCAGTTTCTTTGGAGAGAAACAAAGCACAAGGCTGGGTTCAGACGCAACTCAAGGCCAGACCATGGTTTACTCCTGGCAGTGTGGGTACAGCAGCAGGGAAGGAGTGATGCCCCAGCACACACTAGCGTGTTAAACTAAACTATGCTTAAATGGTGAACTATGGTTTTAAGTGATGTGTGAATGAGCTCAGGAGTCACTATGTGTCACTTTTACAAGTTTTATAGAATGCTCATAGGGAAGTATTAATTCTAAATTGCAGATAATATTAAAAGGAGAAATAATATATACCTACATTTTTAACTACATGCATAAGTTTTTAATGTTTCAGGATTAGATAAAAGTGAGTGTTCACATGCCAAAGGTCGATCATTCTGATTGAATCTAATCTGAATTTTACTATTAATCATGTCCTGACTTAATTTCCTCAGCTACCATCTGTACATCAGAATCTAACTGTAATTTACTGAAAATTTTTTCTTCAAGTCTTATGAAAAAACTGCATGTTCAGAACCTAGTTGTGTGACATTCCACATATCCTACTTAATTAAATAGCATTAAAAGCACTCTGCTCCAGCTATCCTGCAACATGCCTCCCAGGCAACACACCAATGCTAACAGTGGTCATGGTATACACACCTAATAGTCTGACCTCCTTTTCCAACTAATGCATTACAGAGCCAGCTGGCTCCAGAAAGGAGTTGTCTGTGTGATTGAAGAACTTCTGCTTGGGGTAGGCATGGCTGCTACTTTTACTGAGTAATGGCCAGTCCTGACATCCCCATTGTCTGCCTGACAGAGTGCCCATCCTAAAATCGAAGTTTTATTTGTAAATTAACCAAGAAACTTCCTGCCAGAACAGCACTGCCTGGAGACTGATAATGTGTGCCTTTCATTCCCTTTCACTCTTACTGTATTCACTGCCAATTTGTTTTCTGCTGCCAGCCAGCCTTAGGCTATAAAAAGCCTTGTAAGACATAAGTGCAATTATAGTCCTAGAGTCAAATGAATTGAACAAATCCAATAGCACAGCTCTGTCTCCACTTTGCAAACCCCTACAGCAGTGAGGATTAGCTGCTAAAATCTAATCTAGCTATAAACTTAATGAATTTCTTGAGTAAAGGAGCAAGAGTTCAGTAGGGGGTTGTACCCAGCTTTCTGAACTGAGAAGCTCTTTGCAGCTAATTGTATATAAAAAGCAACATACAGCTTTTGACAAAGAACTATTAGGATGTTGCTATTACTATTTCATTTCCATTGTGGCTGCAGGATGTCGGATGAAACAGTACATACTATTCATCATGATAAATCATGGATTCCAAAGGTATTGCTGAATATGTCTTATTTTCAAAAGAAAAAAATATTTCAGTAATGACAATCATTTTGCAGCTAACACATGTATTATATATTTGTAAGCACAAAAATGTGATTTCTAAATATGTTACCCTGTACTAGCATATGTATTAGGATATGCTCCTAATTATTTCACTTTATGACAATATACATTCATTAGAATTCTCTACTTATTTTACAAAACACATGTGGGAACAACTACTTTTCATTAAAAATAGAATCTCTAATAATTATTGCTATGACATCTGTCTTATTCTGTGGGTCACAAAATATGCCGCCTGCTGCAGAATGGTCACATTTAAAGGCAGCTTTTCTGGCCGGCAGGTGGTATGACCTTCTGTCATGCTATTGAGTTTGTCAGCTAAGCAAGTTGTTCAGAATTTTGCTTATTATGCTTGGAAACGGGCAAAGAAAAAAACAGGACACAAAACTGGTCAGAGTGCAAGTTATTACCTGAACAGCTCAAAAGACTCAGAGATATATTCAATATACCTTACTAAAAACCCAAAAGCAGTCTTAAAAGTGCCAGCTTCAGCTTCCAAACATCTGATTGAAAATAATCAGAATTAAATTAGTCATCAGACTCCTGAAAATAAACTTTGAGTGTTTTGTGCTAGTTAACAGAGTGCAATCAACGTATGATTTAATTTTCTTATACCTGACCTTAGTAAATAACTGTTCTCAATTTGTTTTTTTAATTATCTTGTAATTGTGTTCACAATTTTTCATTGCTCCTTATCCAGATAGTAAGCACTGCTGAGTGTAATTTGTAATGACTATAATATGTAAATCAAAGTGAAAGTGTAAAATTAAACATTGTTTAAAAATAAGAAACTGCACAGAAGTAAGGAGAGGTTAATGCAGAGAAGAGCTTCTGTGTAAATGCAGTGTGTGGGTAGTTCCAATCAATGATCTTTGGGTGTTCATATGCATAAGAGTGTCCATCGGTCCCAACTCCCTGGGGCCCTGGAAGCCTGAGCACCCACAAAATTCCCCATGAAGGGGCCAGGCACCCACAAATTTCGGGCATGGCCCATGGTCGTGGTGCCAAGTTGGCACTCCTGAGTGTGTCCCTATTTTCATTTTTGAAATGATGGCGGGTTTGTGGTTTTTAGAAAATATACCGGCTAAAGGTGTGAAATGGAGAATGCTTCCTTGGTCTTGTTTGATCACTTGTTTTGCAAGAGACAGAAGCAGCTGGAGTGGGGGAAGGGGAGATTTCACTCTCTGGTTTATTGTTTGTGGCATTTATACAGCCAGCCCAAAAGAGGATTAGAGTGGTTTGAAAGAGCAGACAAAGAAATACTATTAAAGAAAGCAAAGGTAAGTAGGAAAAGCCACAATATATGGAGTGCCTTTTATTAGGATCTGTGTCCCTCCTGTAAACAGCTCTGCAACAACAGATGGAAGAGACTTTCGTTTTCCAGTGCTGCCTTGGGGCACATGCCATTACTGCTTGGGAACATTACTTTTTCCCTCTTTTTCCTGTGAAAATCTGATGTTGCAGTTTCAGGAACAGGCAATGGAAGGTCTGTAGATAGTGCCAACTTCCAGATTGGCTGGGGTGGTGGTGGTGTCCTGCATTAATAATCATTGCTCTTTCACTGTCAGCTACAAATGGAATTGCAACTGGGCTTCCACATGACAGGTTATATCGTACTTTCTGAGTATGCTCATCTTTCTATGTTCCATCTACACCAGCTGGTGTGACATAGCTGATGTGGGTGGGAAAGTCCAATTTAACGGAGTCGTCAACTAAAGCTCCATGCACATGATGAAAAACAATCTTTTCTGCCATTGCCACTAACCACATTCTTGAAAAGGCAATCTCTGGAAAGGGTTGTTGTTGTTGTTGTTTTAGAAGGCATCATAGTGTTATGGTGCTATAACACACTTTAATTCAAGTTGCTTTTTTCTATATCAAACTCGCATGATCCTAGCTAGCAGACCCAGTGGTCAGGAATGATGGATTGTGTCTCAAACAATCTGGAGGGCCTGGTTTAAATCAAAATGTGGCCCGCAGTTCATCCAATCTTATGTGTCTTGCCTCTTTATTCCACTGTGTTGTGACCTAAGCCAAACACAACGGGAAAAGTTTGTGCCAAATACAAATGCCGAAATAAATAGGAGGCCTTGATTTCTCATGGCTCAATGATGTTTGTTTTTTTAGGTGATGATGTTACTTTGCCAGTACTGCTTGCAATGCGTGAGGAATTTTCCAGTGTATGCTCCTATGTCTTCCTCTGATTATTACTACTGGACTATTATTGCTTTTTGAATGTGATCCATTTCTTGGTCTCACTTCACACTTATCAAAAGGCAAGCCATA